TTTCTTTTCTTTTCTTTTCTTTTCTTTTCTTTTCTTTTCTTTTCTTTGCTTTGCTTTGCTTTGCTTTGCTTTGCTTTGCTTTGCTTTGCGGAAAACCAACCAACCAACCAACAACAATCAGCCTTGCATCTGCTTGACTATATTGAAGCCGTAAACCTTACAGTAATTCTACTGACACAAAAAAGTAACAGCTACAAGCTCTTATCCAGGATTTGTGATTGATCATCTACTGAATTTTCTACAGAAAAGCTTGTTCGTTTATTAACTACACTATGCTTTGTGCTGAGAGATATATCCAAATGACATCCTTAAATAAGAAAAAAATGGTCTACATATTTAGAGACTCTAATTCTGAAATAATATACAAAGGCAAATAAATACGCAAATCACAAAAACAAACAAACAAAAAAGAAACAGACAAATCTTCAGAATCACCTGCTAAATAGAGGAAACTTCAAAATAAAGCTCTTCCTATTTATCACAGACATTTAACACTGCAACATTTTATTTCTAAGATCTGACTTGTCTTTTAGAAATATTTGACTTTCACTGATATCTTGTCCTTTAAGACTCTAGGAAGATTTTACTCTCTGTTCTAGAGTAGCAGTCATGAATGTGACGATACAATCTACCTGCCCTGCACACATCAGTCAAGGTTCTTAGCATTCTGTTGGTAGAATGAAACTTACTGACCCATAAGTGGAGTATGCACTACCACTGAGCTAGTTTTATTCATTTGCTTTGATGGGCACAGAGCACAACGTGGAAAATTCTGTTCAGAAGAATCATGTTCAAGTTTGATGGGGCTACTGAAGCCTATCCCAAACTTAACAAATTCTTTACTGAAAGGAAAACTGGAATTGTTTTCTATGAGTAGTTTTAAAATCAGTTGAGATCTCACTGCTGAATTTAATAAAAAAATGATTTGCCAGTAATACCAGTCACACAGCTTTGTATGCTTTCCAACACTTCAAATCAGCAGGATACTCCTTTGGTAAAACACTTAGCCAAGTGCAGTTTCTTATATGAAAATAAAAGGCTCAGATGCAATTAGTGTAAATGATCCTAATGCATGCTGAACAACAGTACACAGTCAATATCCGAAAGAGAAATCTGACTGCAAAAGAAGGCTTATGTGTCTAATTCTGACCTTAGGAGTTCTCTAAAATTAGTATTAGTATTAGTATTAGTATTAGTATTAGTAAATACCATGCACTTCAAAACAAGCCACACCAGTCTGCACTGCTGCTTACGTTAGCCCAAACAACGTTTACACATAGACTTTGTCTAAGAAAATGTTCAGGACAGGCCTTCTCATCAGCACATACAGTGCCCAACTTTGCCAGGCCATGATCCTGACAAGGATTTTATTTTCTAATACAGTGCAATAGTCCTATAAACCTGACATGGAAATCATAATATCTGACAGCTCAGCTCAGTACTGTAGTCTGAAAATATTTCCCAGGTTTGAAAATATCTGCAAAGCTCCTACAGGAGCAAACTTGCGTGTGGTTCTGATCCTGAAGATTTTAACACCAAGAAACAAACAATAAAATGAAAGAAAACCCAAATGGAATAATAAATACTCTTATTGACACATCTCATGTTTTCTTACAGTTAGAAACTCTACTCTTATTGACACATCTCATGTTTTCTTACAGTTAGAAACTCTTTACCTTTGCATGCTAGCCAATGCCTTAGTGACATCCCTAGCAGGTTCAGTTCTCATTTAGTCTGTGAAATGCCCATTAAGGAGGTTGTCAATTTCAAACTGATCATCTCTTCCACCTTCTATGATGACTCTGTTTACAGGCATTCCTACAGCACATACTCATCCTGGCTGCATATGCACAATATGTCTGTGTGGGACAAGTCTCATCTTGTTTTGGACTGCAGTTTCACAACATTTTCAGACAAATGTCTGGCATCTATTTTTATCCTGTAAAGGAAATCTTCAAATGTCATAAAGTTAGACCCTCAGTTGTTTTCACAAACACAGAGAATGTCCAGTACTATCTGAGGAACTAGGTCTTAATTTGAACATGTAAAGCAGTTTTGGGTAAGTGAAAAGAGAAGTAACAGTCTTTCTGAAAGTGATGAACTTGACTGTGAGTTTTCTATGACTCTTTTACCATTAACTAAATAGCAGTACATGAACTTTAGAACTAATGTACCCTTGGACAGTACTGTATCTTTTTTTTAAGGTTTGGAACCTTTTCAATATTTCAGTAAGTATATATAATCCTGTATATGCATACAGATGTGTATCTGTAACATGTCTGCACATGCATATGCATATGCATGATGGTAAGGCAATATGCTGAGCAACACCACATTCTCCTTGCCTGAACTATTTTCCTGCTCAAATAAATAACTAGAACTATAAATTTATACAAAATTAACAAAGGTAGTGAGGTTAAAAAATCTGAGGTATAGTAACAAGAACTAAAAGTTGCACAATTTTGAGATGATGATGTAGTATGAAACTCGATCAAAGTTCACCAATTTTCTCCTTGAACAATATAAAATCACCTGTTATGCTTTTTAAAACAATATGGCTGAAATCTTGCTTTTTTTTTTCTTTTTTTTTTTTTTTTTTTTTCTTTTCAGATTGCCATCACTAAAGTTTCCACTGAAAATATTTTAACCTCCAGATAAGATGAGCGTTCAGGTGAAGCAGCAGCCAACACCCATAGGATTTAGTTCTGTGATCCTCCCGAGTCTAATATGAGATGAGAAGGCAGGCTTTTCAAAAGTATTTAGTAGCAATTGTACGATTCTCACAGATTTTAATGGATGACTGGCTTTCCCTAGATTGTTCTAATAAAAATTTCACTCCCCTGTGAACTTAGGATTCTGTTATCTTGTGCACAGTTGTCCATGCAGTTACCTCAAATTCTGCACAGTCAGTTTTTGAAAAACAAGCCCAACCAGGTAATGCCATCATTGTTACTTTAGTGAGTAAAAGAATAATTGAAAAATAATTATAATTATCTTTAAAAAAAAAGAAAAATCAAATCAGAGAACACTTCAATTTTCACCTTTGACAAGAGGAAGATGTTCACTTCCAGCTGTTTCTATTTTTAATTGATCGTTTTTTTATGTATGAGTGAAAGCCAGCCAATTTTCTTCAGAGAAGCACTCCTATTCTCTTAACTCGGTAAGAACTACACACTTCTTACTGGTCTATTGCACCGTGGGGATCGGATAAAATATGAAAGCAAGGATTTCTTTATTCTAGCCTGGAAAATTAACTGTTAAGCTCAGTGGGGGCAGAAATGAAGGTGGCATTTAGATATAACTAATTTAGTATCAAACCAAAGCGGATAGCCTTCTCAGAGAAGAAAGAGACCAAAGGGAACACAAAATTGTACCTGAATTATTTCTGAGTCAATTCCTATGAAAGCTGAAGAACTTTCCTTTATGCTCAAATGGATTACACATTTCCTTTTATAATATCCACACTGTTAACAGTTTTCAAGATAATGTAATGAACAACAACTGTTAAAAAAGAAAGATTCATATATTTTTAATTATTTCTTTTACTTAATAATAGTGCAAGATGTGGCCTGGACTACCTTTAAAAAGCAGACTGTGAGATAGATCCTCATTGATATGAAATAATATAGCTCTGTTATCTTTATATCTGCTATCGTTCAATTAGAATGTAATGAAACCATGATTACAATTTGCTTAATCACCTTATGTTAATAAAATAACAAACACAGCTTGTAAATTTTGTTCTTTGCTTTATTTTGTCTGCTTTTAATTGCTTAGATTTTCTTTAATTGTAAAGAGTGCATGTTTGAAGGGATAAATGTGCTGTCAGACCCAGCTAATCATTCCCTACTTACCCACATTTCTAAAGACCAAGAATTTTGCTTGAAAAGAGGCTTAGAAGCAATTTTCTTGTGTTCATTAATCCATAAACATCTGATTTCAAATCAGATTGCCAGCAGACATAACCTCTTTGCACTCCTACAACAGAGACTTGATTTGATTAATCAAACACTCTGATTCACTGAATTGTCTCCAGAATAGTTGTCCCTGACAATACTATGCAAATAACTGCTGATGTTGTGCTGGCATTCTCATCTTTCTAAAACTGTTCAGTATTCTTCCATGGAAATTTCAATTTTTATATCTAATTCACAGGCCTATAAAGAAGGCCCACTGTATCTAATATTTATAGACTTCAGTTCACATTCCATTCTTGGATTTGGAAATGTGTGCCATCTTTACAATGCTGTTTTTTTAATCTCAGTTATCCTTTACTAAAACAGTAGTAATTATATTTCTCTATCATAAGATATTTCAGAATTTATTCAATTTTTATAAACAGGTATTTTCTTTTTAAATTCATTTTCAGGGGCAATTCAATGTTATATCCCATATAAGTAATTGCCTGCTTTGTTCAAAATAGCTCTCAAACTGAATGTAATTGATTGGTTTGAGGAACAGGGAGGTTTTGAAGTTTAAGATTCCAAAGGCAAATAAATTAAGGTATACACAGCTAATATTAACTGTTTCTAAAGCAGCCCAAGCCAGTGCACGCAACAGACCTATCTATGCCTCAATGTGATTAACCACATAACAAGCAAAAGTTACTCTGTGTGAATACTTCCACGTTTTACCACCATGAAATAAACAAAGGCGATATCAGTAAGCCTCCAGCTGGGACTAGAGAGAGAAAAAAAAACCAAAAAAAAACAAAAAGCAAAAACTCAAGTTGTCTTTGGTTAGACAATGGGAAGAAAAACCAAGGCACTTTAAAGTGATTGAAAAGTTAAGCCTCAGCTAAAAGAGCAGGAGTCGCAAAACTTTCAATAACTTTCTAAAAAGTCACAATTCCCAGAAATATGAGGAAAAAAAAACAGCAAAAAACTCCAGAGAGTTCAAAAATCAACAGGAAGTATGGACAGAAGGTTTCAGGGGAAGCAATAAAATCTGTGAAGGAAGAATTTTTTTTTTTCCCCCCTGCGCTTTCTTACGTACTCCAATTCCCAACAAAGCATTGTTGCAAGTACTTATACAGCCAACTGTATATTCTTCCTGCTGGTTCTAAGCAGCACTGTGTAACTAACCTGCTGATAAAGACCTCTCTAAACCTGCCTATACTTCTGCTTTCCAGGAAAAGACATGCATAATCATAATGGCCAGTTCTTCAGTATTGTGCAAAACACCCACATGAACTGAGAATAGGAAAGAACTCTCAGCCAGCGTACAATGACTTTGCCAACGTGCAGATTGGTTAGATTACATTATTTCTC